TATACCCTATTTGAATGAGATAATTCTGATGAAGCACGAAACAACTCCTGTCTACCAAGATGCTAAGAACTCCTGGGCTAGTGTGGTGGATTGAGTTATGTCCCCCCAAAACTCACTAAAGCTTGAATTGTGTCCCCCAAGTTTTATGTATTAGAAACTTGGTCCCCACTGTGACTGTTAAGAGTGTGGGAAATCCTACTACGGTAATTGAAAGGTGCGGCTTTGAAGAGGTGATTAGATTGTAGGACCATGCCACAGTGAATGAATTCAATATGGTTGTCATGGCATGGTTTATACGGCTTTAAAAGGAGAGTGAATGAGGAGGTTACTCTCTGCTCCACCATTTTGCAATGTGATACTCTGCCATCACTGTTGCCACCACCAAGGCTCTCACCAGATGTGTTCCCTGGACTTTGGACTTCCCAGTCTCAGAAACTGTGAGCAATAAATTTTGTTTTCTTTATAAATCAACCTGTTTCAAGTATTTTGTTATTAGCAACAGAAACAGACTAACACAGCTAGCCAGTCCACTTTCTGTTCCTTTCAGTGCTTTGGGAGAAAATGTCTTAGTGGCACTGCTACAAAAGAGGATCACATATACACACAGAGAGAAATATGTTCAAAGCATATTGTTTGTAATACCCGGAAGGGTTTTTTTTTGATATATTTTTGTGGGGTAAAAACTGCAGAAAAGGGGCCGGCCCGGTAGCGCACTCGGTAGAGTGTGGCGCTTGGGAGCGCGGCGGCGCTCCCGCCGAGGGTTCAGATCCCATATAGAGACCAGTCTGCTCACTGGTTGAGCGTGGTGCGGGCGCGACACCGAGGGTTGCGATCCCATTGCCGGTCACGAAAAAAGACAAAAAGGAAAAAAAAAAAAACTGCAGAAAATACATATGATCTCACTCTTTAAATCCTAAAGGTCTAGTGAGATCCCCAAAACAGTAAGTATACATTCTGAGGCTGTAGATGGAAAAAAGGAAAATCTCACTTTTTACTTTGAACTGTAAAATATTTATATTTTATAAATATTTATATTTTGTAAAATATTTATATTTATAATGAATATGTATTTCTCCCACAGTTCAAAAAAAATTTAAAGGAATAAATTGGTGAACATAATTAAACAAAAAAATAGACATGAGTCCTTAAGCTTTGGAGTTTATAATCTAAGCACATTAAATTCATAAGCAAGACAAAAATGGAAAAATAATAACCCTCTGTTGTAGAATTCATATTTTTAATCAAGTAAGACCATTGAAAATTAGAAAATAAGTCAGAAACAAATGAAATGTTCAATAATAGTAAGTAAAACCCAGTAATTCATAAAGGAAGAATAATTTCAGAAAATTAGGGAACCTAGAAAGTCAGTAAAATAGATAGTAGACTACAAAATCAAGTAGAGAGCATGATAAACTACAAGATAATGACTTAACAATGAAGTATAGTCAACTTGAATATCCTAGACTGGTTATAATACCATACAAATAAGGTGTCATCTCACCTCCTTAAAAAAAAATCTGAACTTTTAATTTTATTTGCATTGTTATATTATATGACATTAGAAGAAAGTCACTATCATCATGTTTTGTGCTTACCTGTCCCCCATTTGAGAGTCCAAGTTTCTGACCAACTTGTCTGTTAACTTCAGCCACATTTTCACCTTGATCACTAAAATGCCTGCCTTCTACCCAGCTCAAGAATGCAGGCTGGTGACCCCATGCTATCTCTATAGCTTGATTCTATTAATATAAGAAATGAAAAGGAAAAATATTTTTAAAGTTTTTACAGATTTTTCTGGATTCACATAATGATAAACTATTATTGCAATCTACACATACAAAAAGAGTTCTATAGATGCTTGACAGCTCTTTGTTACCTACATTTCTCATAGCATTTAAACAGGTAAAATCATTTTCAACACCCAATACTAGTGATGCTATGATGAAACCAATACCCTTCTATTCTTCTAACAGCATTATAAATTGACTCAACCATTTTAGAATTCAAAATGGCAATAGGAGCCACATGAACTTAATAGCCTTTGAGCCATATATAACTGTTTGTGTATTTATTCTAAATTAATGAGTCAAAGAAAAACCTACACCAGGAGATATCTCTGCAATATTTTCTATTGGGACTGTCTTAAATAGTGAAACCTTGGGATTATCTTAAATGTCTATCAATAAAGAAATAAATAAGCTATAAATTTACTGTATTAGTAAAATACAAGTCAATAAGTAAAAATGTATACCATGATCTTTAAGAACACAATATAGTTAATATAGTTATTGAATTATGAAACACCAACCAGTTGTAATATGTAATCCCATATTTATTTATGTATTAGAAGAGTAATAAATGCACATGGTAAAGCACAAAGAGTACAAAAGGGTAAAATGTGAAGGTAGGTCCCTGTTTCCCAAGGTAATTACTGCTAATATCTTCTTGTGTACCCTTCGAGAAATGTTATATTATGTAACTCCCTAAATAACAATTTTTAAGAGTGCCATCTTGTAACCACCAAGGTCAAGGGTTCAGATCCCTGCACCAGCCAGCCACCAAAAAAAAAAAAAAAAAAATTTTTTTTAAAGTTCATAAAACTATAAAAACATTTATAAGTTTTTAAATAGCAAAATATAAAATTGATTCTTATTAAAAGAGAAAGTATATAAAATTTGTAAGTTTGTAGCCAAGGACTAAAAAATGATGTTTTATATCATTAAACTCATTATAGAAACCTTGGAAAATAAAGAACTTGGAAGAAAAAAGGGAGTCTTGATATTCCCTCCACAAAAAGACAACCATACCAACAATATTGTCTATTTTCTGCTAATTATTTTTTTCTATGTGCAAACTAATTTTTTACATAGTTGTGTACTATAGGCTCTATTTAATATCCTTTATTCCCACTTAATGTCGTATCATGAGCATTTTCACACATATATCTTTTTTAATGAAAAGTAAGGATTTCATTAATAGCTATCAAGCTTTATCATCTCAGGAAGCTTCAGTACTATTAAATTCATTTATTTATATCAAAATGAATTCATTAAATTAAAAATATTAAATATCAAATTCATTCATTTATATCATATTTTACTATCTCAAAACTGGGTATAGACTGTTTATGTTTCTTTAGGACAAATTTCAAAGGATGTTACAACCACTTCTAAGACAATATAATGTACTTGAAATTAACCACATGTTATGAAAATCTTGTATACAAGAAAGTCATCATGTATCACTTGCATGTGCAATTTTTCTCACAATTTTCAAAAATCTAAAACGAAAATTAAGACCCTTAAATTCCTAAACAGTGATGACTTTAAGGTAACAACCACATCTTAGGATCAAATTATTAGAGTTATTGTAAGGAATTATTCCTATAAACTCATTAGGTGGGGAGTTTATTCCTATGAACTCATTAGGTATGGGTTTGAAAGCATGTTGAAAATTTCCATCAAAGCTGAGCAAGGCAGCACTGAGCCAAGTTCTACCTGAAACTCGGTGACAGTGACTGACTCGTCTCCGGCCATGAAGGAAGCTCCTCAGTGCCAAAAGGTGTATTCTTAACGGTAAAATGATGATGATGATAGGATTCCGTTGAATTTGGTTTGGAATTTGGTCCATTTTGAAAGATGAATGTCCCCTTCCCCCCAAATCTAGACTAATAGTTACAGGGGAGTAAACACGAGTGGAAAGGCAGGTACATGAAATTATTGCAAACTCTTACATATTTCTTGCATGGATTTCCCAGTGATAGGTACCATGCATCCAGGATATTTGCAGTTTTCAAATATTCTGTCCTTTTGCCCCATAAGCACACTCAAACTCGTGAGACCATGTGTCTCTATTTTTAATTATGAAAACATGGATGCTGTATCTCTGCCTGTGGTTAGAAACGTGAAACACCACAACCACGACCGCAGAGGTTCAAGTAATCCCAACTACGTATGTGCAGGTATGCGTAATTCCACTGCACATTCCCGGCACACCTAGGCTGTGCTCCGAGGGCCGGCGACGCAGGGGAAGAGCCATCATTTTATTAGCCTTTCCCGCTCGTGAGATGCGGTGCTCGGTCCCTCTTAACCTACAGGGGCTCCGCCAACCAAGTCTGCCCCTCCCTCTCGATGCCTGACTGTAGCAACGCAGGTACCTGGAAGTCGCGGGCAGGAAAAACACGTTTAAAAATAATAAAAATAAACGACTTCTCAAGAGCTTTTCCAATCTGGAGTGAGGATATTTCTGAACGCAGAGGTAGAATATTAGGACATCTCAAACCCCAGTTTATCCGAGTGAAAAGACCTGGACTGCGACACGTTAATTTAACGGCTCGGCGCTGCCCCGGACGTGATGTGGGGTGCAGAAGCCGCCCAGACCGGCCCTGCCTTCCAGGGGCCTTCAGTCTGTGGGCCGGCGCTGGGAAGGCAGCCGGTGTCTCGTTGTGGGGACAGGCCTCAGGTCAGAGGACGGCAGGCCAGGCTGTCGTCCAGGGGTCCTGGGGACGGCGCTTTACCTGCAGGAGGTGCAGCTGGGACACTAGGCGCCGCGGCAGGTGGAGGAAGCAGTCGCGAGCGTTGGTGAAGGCCACGGTCACGGCCGCCCCACCTCCCCCCGCACCCGCCAGGCGATCGCTGTCCCACATCCTACGGGAGCACGGCTCGAGAGCCCACCCCAGTGCCGCGGCAGACCCCTGCCCGGGCAGGCGTCGGAGCCAGAGCAGATCGATCGGCCCCGCCCCCCGAGGGGCCGCCCCCTGTCCCCAGGACTGATCTTGCTGAGAGGCTGTTGGGAGAGACAAGCACGCTTCTGTCACCCTCTGAGCCTCTCCGCCGAGCCGCTGGGGGGGGGCACCTCGTTCGTCGAATCCTCGCCTGCAGGAAAGATGGCCGGCTCTGTCCATCTTCCAGCCAATCCTGGCACGTCTTGGACCATCCTGCTCTCTTATTGGATAAACGGGAGCGCAGCAAGGCGGAAGTTCTCCCGGCGATGTCCAAACCAGGCAAGATGGCGTCGAATGGCGGGGAGCTTGGGGGCTTATTCGACCACCACGTCCAGAGGGCGGTATGCGACACGCGGGCCAAATATCGGGAGGGAAGACGGCCTCGCGCTGTCAAGGTAAAGTGATTTGGGCTTCATTCGGTATCCTCGGTAGCCTTAGATTAGCGCTAGCTCTGAATGTCCAGCCTGCCCAAAGGCATGACAAGGCTGCTGTCAGATCCGCCTCAGTGGAGGTGGCGTGAGGAGCCCTGGTCAGGTACCAGAGATTCTCCGATACCTCTGGGCAACTATCAGAACGTCAGGCCCGCGAGACCGGGGCTTCGTTTTACTCTTTGTATCTTCTGTGTTTACAGTGGTGCTTCGCACATGGTAAGCACTCAATGAATATTGTTGAGTGACTCTTCGCAGTAACTTCGTACGATCGAACTTCCGGAAAAACTGTCACTGAAGGTAGTCTGATACATGCAGTGCTTAGACACCCTCAAACGTGGAGTGTGTTATTCTTTGTGCAGAGGGAGTGGAAAGATTTTTAAATTGTGTGTTTTTCGCAGACCGGGTAGAACAGAATATTTCTCGTTCTCAAAGCTCTGTTATAAAAAAAAATAAGGGCAGTTTTGTCCTAAGCTTATTTATGAAATGAATAGTCATGTATAAATGAATAATATATTTAACGAGCCTGCCTTTCTTTCAGGTATATACAATCAATTTGGAATCTCGGTACTTATTAATACAAGGAGTTCCTGCAGTGGGAGCGATGAAGGAATTAGTTGAGCGATTTGCTCTGTATGGTGCAGTTGAGCAGTATAATGCTCTAGATGAATACCCAGCAGAAGACTTTACAGAAGTTTATCTTATTAAATTTAGGAACTTACAAAGTGCAAGGTAATATGCAGCTTAAGCCGTGTCTCCTTTCCTCTATTCCTATTGCTATCATTTTGGCTCAGGCTTCCCTCGTTCATATCTGAATTATGCATTAGCTTAGTATGTCCCTCTATTACTCTTATCCTCCTCCAGTCGTTTTACAGGTTAGCCTTCCCAAAACACTATTTCCATCACGTCATTCCCATGCTTACCAATTTTCCACCCTGGAGGGTGATAGATTAAGAATTGGGTTTGCATGTTTTCCAACCCCACCGCTTACTAGCTTCATGACCTTGGACAAATTGTTTAACTCTGTTAAGCCTGTTTTTCCTCTTCAGTAAAATCTATATGGTAAAAGGACCTACTTCTTGAGGTTGTATGAGGATGAAATGAGATAACCCATGTAAAGGGCTTAGTCTAGTGTCTCCTGTTCAGAATTCAGTAAACATGAGCTATTGTGGTTCTTATTGTCATGACTCTGTGCAAATTGACTCCACCTTTTTCAGCCTTCTATATAACATAAACCCTCTGCTCCAGTAAGACTGAAGTATGCAATGCCCTATCTATTTTTATGATGACATCTATTCCTGTCATTAATCTGCACCAATCCTCCCTGACTATTAAAATTTGTATTTTCATTTCCAAGCTACCAATAGCACTTGTAGTCTGCTACAAAATCACTTTATGTTCTCAGGCTGCTCTTATATGTAATTTCACCTTCCTAACCAACTTGCCGGCTTCGCATGGTTAGGAAAGCATATTTTCTAGAGCTTTCATATCTTCTACAGCAGCTAGTATACTAGGGTCTGAGTAAGATCTCTGGGGTTTGCATCCTAGCTCCACAAACCAGTGTGTGAACGTGGCCTAGTCATTCAGTGTCCCTGTGCCTCAGTTTCATTATGGGGTTGTTGTGCGGTATTAATTCAAGTGAAGTACTTACAACATTGCCTTGGCATGTGGTACAATCTCAATAACTTTTTATCATTACAACATTGCCTTGGCATGTGGTACAATCTCAATAACTTTTTATCATTATTCCTGGATGTAGAAGTACTTAAATATTTATTATAGTCCCTGTGCAGTCATAGGTGTTCACTAAGTATTTATTGAAAGAATACCATCTTTCTCATTTTCTCATTGATCAGTTATATATTCAGTATATCCCCAGTTATTGAAAATTTTACAATTACAGTATTTTTAATTTAATTTTTAATGTATGAATCCTATTATAGGAAGACATTGTGATGAAAGGCCAAATTGGGTATGAATTAACTTTCAATGGGAAATAAACTTAACACAGAGAAAAGCTTTATTTCATGACTACAGTTTATATACATCAGGCCAACCAGCTGGGCCCTAAGTTGGTTAAAGAGAGTCTGTGTGGATGGCTTAGCTCAAAACCTATTAACATTACTGGGAGAGAGAAGAGAAGGTTCTAAGTGTACACAGTGGATCAATAGGGTCAATACTATCCACAAGCAGAGCATCTTAATCCCCAGTCCATAGGATGTATATACACATAGCAAAAGCTGGACTTTGCTCTTTAGATCAACGTATTGTATACTAGTCAAGCTTTCATCATGAGTAAATGTAGATTAATAAACCACGCTATCATGTATTTCTGTTCAGGACAGCCAAGAAAAAAATGGATGAACAGAGTTTCTTTGGTGGATTGCTTCATGTGTGTTATGCTCCAGAATTTGAGACAGTTGAAGAAACTAGAAAAAAATTAGAAGAGAGGAAGGCTTATATAGCAAGAATTACTAGAAGTAAAGGTATGGAAAGCCTGTTTCTAATGCCTCCTAAATGCCAGGTATGCCATTATGCAATTCTCAGTCCTGTGGGAGAAGAGTCAAGTAAATCACAATATTCAGTAACCATAAACCACAGAGTTCTTTGCAGCACTCTGTGTAATCTGGGCTGAGCAGGGAGAGATGTTGGTTTGTGGAAGACTTTCTATAGGCTGTTAGAGGTGGCTGAATTATGAAGTAGACATTACCCAGAAGGGAGGAGGACAAAATGGAAAGGTGAGTCAAGGTAGCATGTTTAAAGGCCCCAAGGAATAAATGAACATCATGAATTTAAGGAATGGCTGGGGGCACAGGATAACCAAAGCACAGAGGTTTCAGTGAGAGATAAGAAAAATTAGGAAAGTAGACAGGAAGTGAATCATGAAGGGCCTTGTATCCCATTCTAAGGAATTAAGGCTTTGACCTGAAGGCAGTGAGAAGCAATTATGATTTTCAGACTAGTTACCACCTGCTAAGCATGGAAAAGTTCCACTTTTGACCAGCCGCTGGCTAAATGCCCCACATGCCTAACTGAATTTCTCCAGACACAAATTCCAAATGCCTGGGATGGACTCATGGCATCTGGTCCATGAATTATAGGACTAGAGCAAACAGAATTGAGCTAAGATAATGTTTATGGTCTGAAATCTAAATATTACTAGAGGCTCAAAGTACCATATTTCCACCCTTTAGTTGAAGGACAGAGTGAGTATCTGTGTTATTCAGTTTTCAGTTGCTCATAACAGAATACCTGAAACTGGGTAATTCATAAAGAAATGAAATTTATATCTTACAGTTTTTGAGGTTGGGAAGTCCAAGGTCGAGGGCTGCATCTGGTGAGGACCTTTTTGGTGGATTCTCTGTAGAATACAGTTGTTGAATGTAATGAATTTATGGCTGATTGCAGAAGGGACACGTGTCAGTGGTGAAGAGAGAAACAAGGTGGAAAGACTGTTAGAAAACTTACCTAGAAGTCTGGCAAAGAGTTGTTGAGAATTCCTGGTCATTTTTAGACATTGAACTTTAACTTGTGGATATGTAAATAACTAGCACCAGGAATACTTGTATATGTTTGTAGCAAATGAAATTACAAAATATCAGTGTAGAGAAAAACTTTTGAGATGATCTGACCCTGTCCTAATTTTTTGAGGTGAGGAAACTAAGGCTTAGAAAGTCTGTGACTGGCCTGTGACAATAGAGATAAATTGGGAGCAAAATCGGGATTAAAATCCAAGTCTTTGAATTCTCTATCTAGTGCTTTTTTTTTTTTTTCCTTTTTGTCTTTTTTCGTGACCAGTAACGGGAATCGCAACCCTCGGTGTCGCACCTGTACTGCGACCGGCAACGGGATCGAAACCCTTGGTGTCGCGCCCGCACCGTGCTCAACCAGTGAGCGGACTGGTCTCTATAAGGGATCTGAACCCTCGGCGGGAGGGCCACTGCACTCCTAAGCGCCACACTCTACCGAGTGCGCCACCGGGCCGGCCCTCTAGTGCTTATTTTTGAACTGCTTTATTCATCTCAGTGTTGGTGATAGAAGCCTATAGCATTGTTGATGTTCTTTGCTCCCCATCCTCTTAAGTCCTTTTTGCCCTGCCCCTAACCTCCTCAAAATTAGATTCAGTGTTGCTCCAACTTTAATTTGCAGCATGATATAGTGCTTTAAACTATGATTTGGTTGGCCTTGGACGCCTCAATTAAGTTCTTTTTCATTGACAGTATTCTAGCATCTACATGGTGCATTTGCATAGTTGGTCTCACTTTTTAAAACCTTTTATTCTAGAAATTTCATAACATAACAAAGGTAGAGAAAAGACTAAGATAATGTACCTCACATGTGTTAATGTCATTAATTATCAACACATACCCAATTTCATCATTTTTGTTGTTGGCTGGCTTGGTGTTATCAGCACCATGCACTAACCAACAGAGCTAACTCGTCAGCCCCGTCTTTACCACATGTTCCGTACCCCACTCTAGTGGCACAGTCTGTTTGGGGGAAGGTAGACCAGGGCAAGGGCCTGTGCAGGCCCTAAAAGTGAGCCCAGCATATTGCTTCCTTTAATAACTAACACACATGACTAAGCATCATGATACATCATATAGTAGAATACGCTGAAGCTGCAAAAAAGAAAAGCAGCTTTCTATGTAAGGACATGGGAAAACTGAGATCTACAGTTAAGTGGAAAATGCTAAGGTGCAGAGAAATGGGTATTCCAGGTTACCTTTTGAGTGGGGAGAAAAGGAGGAGCAGGTAGAGAAGGAAAAGTAAGATGTACTGGCCAGATGAATGGGAAAGAACAGTGATCACCTGTGCGGGTGGAGACCAGGCATATGGGGAGCAAAGAAAGGGTGACACTTGATACTATATACCTTTTTATCCTTTTTAGCTTTTAAACCACATGAATGTATTCCCTGCTCAAGAAATCAATTTTGGGGGGTAGAATTTGTTAACATTTTTAAGTCATGTTTGTTCTTAAAATTATATAATTCTGAATAATGAAAACAACAAAATGAATCATATCTATCTCCCTTTCCCTCACCTTTTGAATTATTATATAAAGACCATTCCCTGACAAAGAAGAAACTGGTTCCAAAGCCTAAAGACACAAAAGGTTTTAGACAAGACTTCCACTCTGAGACGTCTGGATTTTGTGCGGCTTCTTTGAACACTTCCAGTGAGAACTCATATCCTTGTCTTCCTTATTCTTGTGAATTGCCTTTATGTTATTTTTCCTCAAAATGTACATGTTCATCTGGGGAGCATGTGGACAGAGCATCAAACTCCTCTAAGGAAGGTAGAAACCGTGATGAAACAGTGGAGCATTGTAACCACAGTGACTCTTCGCAGAAAATACAAAGGAACACTTCTAAAGATTCAGTGACGTGCTGTGGTGCAGAAAAGGCTATCCGTCCTTCAGAGGCAGTTGACAGATTTATGCCTAGGACAACACAACTGCAGGAGCGGAAAAGAAGAAGAGAAGATGATCTTAAACTTGGGACTTTTCTGGAAACAAGCTCAAGTGGTAATGAGGTTATGATTGGGCCTCTATTACCAGGCGTACCTAAAGTGGATATGGATGATGACTCATTGAATACAACGGTGAATTTAATTCGGAATAAACTTAAAGAGGTAAGGTCATTTTTTAAATGTATTTATTTAGTTATTTATTTTGGGCCACAAAAGAAGTCTTAATACATTTAAATAGGCTAAGATCCTAGAGAATAGTAGAAAATATGTTCTCTGGCCACAATAACAGAAGGAAATTTAGAAAGTTCACAAATGTGTGGAAATTAAGCAACACTCTCCTAAATAAATAATGGATAAAAAGAAAATCACAGGGAAATTAGTTCTTTGAGATAAAGTGCAACATAACAAAATTTATAGGATGCAGGGCTCATGCTGTGCTTAGAGGAAAATTTATACTTGTAAACACCTATATTAGGAATAAGAAAAATCTCAAATCAGTAATGTAAACTTCTATCTTAAGAAAATAGAAAAAGAAGAGCAAACTAAATCAAAAGGAAGTATAAGTAGGAAATAAAAAAGATTACAACACAAATATATGAAAAAGAGAATTAAAAAACAATAAAAACAAGAAAACCAAAAGTTGATTCTTTAAAAAGATCAACAAAATTTGCAAACCTTTATCTAGACTGACAAAGAAAAAAAAGAGAGAAGACCGAAATTACCAAAATTAGAAATAAAGCAGGGGCATTATTACATTGTCATTATGGTTTTTTGTGGTGGAAAGATTTAGTTTCATTCTCTTGCTCATTTACATTTTTGTTCTACCAGTGGGTGTTGTTCTTTCTTGTGTATTCATGGTAGATGATTATCGTTTTTCAGATTCCAGATGCAGGACTTCCTTGAGGATTCCTTGTAGGGCTGGTTATGTAGTGGTGAACTCCTGTAGTTTTTGTTTGTCTGGAAAATACATTATTTTTCATTCATTTCTGAAGAATAGCCTTGTTGGATATAGTATTGTTGGCTGGCAGGTTTTTTTCTTTTTAGTGTTTTGAATATATCTTCCCATTTTTTTCTGCCCAGTAGAGTTTCTGTGGAGAAGTCTGCTGTTTGTCTGAAAGGGGCTCCCTTATAGATGACTTGAGGTTTTTCTCCAGCTTCTTTGTCTTTGAGCTTTGCCAGTTTGCCTATAATGTGTCTTGGAGAGGATCTTTCTAGGTTGAATCTGTTTGGGGATCTTTGAGCATCCTGCATCTGAAGGTCCGTGTCTCTCCCCATACCTGGGATGTTTTCCATTATTATTTCGTTGAATCAGTTTTCTGTTCCTTTTCCTTTCTTCTCTCCTAGTGGAACACCCATCATTTAAACATTTGTGTGCTTAAGGTTGTCTGATAGCTGTCTTAGATTTTCTTCATTTTCTTAAATTCTTTTTTTGGTCTGCCTGGGCTATTTTGAAAAGTCTATCTTCAAGATCAGAAATTCTTTCTTCTGCTTGTTCTAGCCTGCTGCTTAAGCCATCAGTAGTGTATTTTATTTCGTTGAGCGAATCTTCCAGTTCTATGAGTTCTGCTACATTCCTTTTTAAGATATTAATCTCTTTGTAAATTTCCTCCTTCATATTCTGGATTTTATTTCTCATTTCATTATGTTGTCTAACTGAGTCTTCTCATGTCTCAGTGAGATTCCTTAAGATTATTGCTCAGAATTTCTTTTCAGTCATTTCAAGGGTTTTCTGCTCTATAGGGTTTGGTATTTGAGAATTACTGTATTCTTTTGGTGGTGTCATATTTTCTTGGGTTTTTGTATTTCTACTATCTCTATGTTGATGTCAGGTATCTAGTAGAGCATGCTTCTTCTACCACTCTGGAGTGGGCTTTGAATATAGAGAGACATCCTTTTCTTTTTCCGGTGTCTGCTGGTTACTGTCCTGTGTCAGTGCAGTTGAGTGTCTGACAGGATACCTGCACAGTGGCTGTGGCTACTGCCGTGTTGTCAAGCCACTTTTGTGGCAGTGCCTGTGGTGGGCCATGATGCAAACATGGTGTTTTTGGTGTGCTCTCTTGCCTGCTTCTGGGTGGAGGGGGCAGCTGCCCTCAGCTCCTGACTAGGACACTGGGTGTTGCTGTCTTGCCTGCTTGGTAAGGTCATTTTTAGAAGCTGTTGTATTTTTTACTTTTTAGTTTTTTGATCTGTTTTTCTATAATTCTCTGATGAATTAATGGAATTTGACTAACATATTTATTTGCTTTGATACCATTAATCCTTGCTTTAAACTGAGGGTCACAACATTCTCATGTATTTATCTCCAAGGTTTAGAAAGTGCTTGATATATATTCACATAGTTGAATATATATTTTACAGTGTGATTAAGGGAGGCTAAGGTAGCTTAATTTCTTATATTTTTTACATGAAAATTATTATCTGTTTAAGGATTAGGGATTGTTTAATAAAAATCTGTGGACACAGTTTTTATGATGCAGCCTCCAGAAGTTCTGCAGTTTGTCCTGGAACTGGGACAAAGGTATTGATACATAACTGTCTCAGATAGAGCTGGCTGTGTTTTCAAGAAAAAGCATGAAGTCCAAATTCTAGATACAGAAATAGTAGACAACAAAAAAGTATTTAATACAATTTACTACAGTTTCTAATAATTTTCCATTTCAGATGAAGACTAGACGTCTCACTCTGCTTGGACTTGTTGTCCACTCTTTTTCTGATGGTGTGTTTGGTTTTCATTTTCCCCTGGGAAATTGAGGATTATACCTTTTTCTGCTCATTCTACAAATTTTTTATCACCACCTCCTCTCCCCCAGTATCTGTGTCTCTAAGTCTTTCAAACATTCTTAATGTTTTAAGAATACAAAACCAGAATGTATGTCTGTATCTATAAAATAACAGGTGACTTTAGATCTATAAAGGAATGTTAAAGCAGAGCATGTCTACTCTTCTCCCTTCACATTTTTTTTCTTGTAATGACTTTAGAAATTTTACTCCCATCAATGTTTGGGCAGAAAAACTTTGCTCTGTGCCTAGGTCATAGGCTGTACCTTGAACTTGGGCCACTCTGCATCAAAAGTGATAGCAAGAATTAAGCTATTGGAAGTATATGCCACCTCTTCTAACAGCTTGTTTACTCTTGCACTACAAAAACTAACTTTTAGTAGTTCTTTTTTTTTAAACCAGGTAATTTCATCTGTGCCAAAGCCTTCAGAAGAAAAGCTGGAAGATGTGTGTTCAAGTTGTCCATTAAAACAAAGAAGAAGAATATAGATTGCCAGCAGCAAATTAATATTTTCTTTCTTCTTTTTTTTTTTTTTAACATCCGACTGATACGGTGATTGAACCCTGGACCTTGGTGTTATCAGCACCACACTCTAACCAAGTGAACTAACTAGCCAGCACTACTGCTGATACATTTTAATGCATTCCTCTTTGGAATTTCATTTAAGCTATATGTCTAAAGTAATTTCATCTTTTTTTGATCCATACTTAATATTGCAGAAACTGTTTTTGTTATATAAAATTACCTCTCACATTGCAATAACTATACATAAATTAATTGAAGCAAATATGTAGAAATCTTACAAATAAAGATAGGCAACCACGATCTGTTTCTGATTTTAATATGAGTATTAGGTGATTTACATTTAAAAACTAGAAGTCAGGATGTTCCTGAATGCCAGGGCTTCAAAATTAAGACAGTTCTGTAAAGTAAAAAAGTTAATAAACTATTAAAACAAAGCTGAAGGGCCGGCCCGGTGGCGCACTGCTACAGTGCGCCGCTTGGGAGCCCGGCGGCGCTCCCGCCGAGGGTTCGGATCCCACATACAGACCGGTTCCCACTCACTGGCTGAGCGAGGTGCGGGAGCAACACCGAGGGTTGCGATCCCGTTGCCGGTCCCAGTCCGGTACGGGCGCGACACTGAGGGTTGCGATCTGTTGCCGGACACGAAAAAAGACAAAAA